AACAGCTCTCATGTCTTAAAAACTAAGAACTTTACATTTATCCATTGGGACTTTGGTACCGTAAAACGCTAGACAAACCGTGACCTTGGCACTTTCACGCGCTTTAAGCATTTCAGCATACTGCTGACCCTCTTCCACGGTGGCAAGTCGATCATAATTGCCGGTGCTCCCGGATCGATCAAATGATCCATGGATTATTAAAGCCCTTGCTCGTCCCTTCAACGATTAGCACGCCTGACTTGTATTCTCGTTCCGATTCAGATAGTTCAGGTTTCTTGGATCTGAGCCATGTTTGCTTCTACCTCCTAAAAATAAACATAACTCAGTTCTTCATCAGTAGGGTCCCTCGCCTACTGGGTTCCAACGTTTTTTCGTGGAAAACCAGAGGTTCTTGCGCCATAGTCGCCATGGGCGAAGGCGCAGAAGAAGGCATATGTGCCTTTACATTCTCGCTTAGAGCGTTATTATTCTTTTCAAGCATATGAGTACGCTTTTTAACTCTTTTTCGCCTTGGGCGATGCGGTATGCCACGCCCTAAGGGCCAAAAATAGGAAGCAGGTTTTGCAACCGTCTTGTTGAGTCTAACCGCGGACATCTCTGCGATGTCGATTTTCACAGAGAAGCAGTCACAAGTTCAGGTGCGGGATTGACCCGAAGCGCTACCAGGTGTAGCAGAGATACCGTAGACAAGCTACTTATGCACTAAATGCAGATAAGGCAAGCTCTACGATCATTACGTGTTGGGGTTCTGAACTCTTTTAAGGCTAGCTTTATAAGCTTGTGCCTTTTGGCTGTAAACAACCTACGTCCCAATGAGACCAAAACTCTTTTTTTTTAAAGAATACGCTTGCAACAAAGGATATACCGATTAGGTCCTTACGTATTTATATATAAGTTTATCTTCTAGCCCAATATAGAAAACTTATTGTTATACTTAGCGCTAGTCACTATACTTAACTACCTCTGTAGCCTTCCTACTATACATGTTTATATGTATCTACCACGTCGCTTCCTGCAACGATGTGAAACCAATTTACGATGTAACTTAGGTAAGGTAACATCAAAGAGGTTGAATTTTAATGTACTCGGAGTACAGCCACACCAAAACGGTGGTCACATGAGTATGTGTAATATACATCCTTGTGTAACATCCTTATAAAGGCAAAAAAGCGTATACTAATTTAAATTGGGCGCTTTTGTTATATTAAACGCTAGGAGTTTACCTACTCGTGCAGTTTGAACAGGCAGATACTGCCGTTTCTCGCTTGGTGAGCTTTGAGTGTCACGATCCGAAGGCGACCTGGTGTTGCTGACTCTAAAGTCAACTTCACTGTCATCATTTTCGAAGAGATCAAGTCGCGTCGTCTATAACATGATAAGGTGGCGCAACTGTTTTGTAAGCAGGGATTAAAGCTTATAACCCTTGTATTGTTAGTGGGTGCAAGGCAAAAAGCTGTGAGAGCTCAAGGAGCAAGAATTTAGAAAACTTTTGGCTCAATGAGCGAAAGCCTGGGCACTTAGAGACTCAAAGAGCAAGTACTTAGGAGCTTAGTGAGCATGTGTATGGATACAATTCAGTGCTATATGAGCCAGGCTATATACTTATACTCTCAGCAAAGTGTTGATAACACTGTTGCTTGAGAAGAAAAGTCGATAAGAGTCTGCAGAATTTTTATTGTAAGTTCGAAGAATTGTGGGTATGCCGGGTCCCATGGATTGGTGGGGAGAGTGTAACGGGGTTACACAAGGGTTTGCATTACATACATACCTGACGCAACATTTCGGTGTGGCTGTACTTTGAGTTCATTAAGTTTGTGCTAATCAGAGGCCAAATATATCCGAGGGCTTTCTTTGTACTTTGGTCTTACCACACGACTTTCTTCGACAAGGGGGGGGGGCAAAATTGACCCTTCTCGGAACAGGTGGGTGGACTTAGCGAGTTCCTTATAAGCGTGATAAAGTCACGCCACGTAGATCGCAAATAAAGTAGTATTTAATATAGTCCTATCTATTGAATCCTTTACTATCCTTGCCTTGAAACCTAGTTTTTTATTGTAATTGGCTAAGATTGCTTGACCTTGAGACAGAGGGTTGACCGACAAAGGCCTAAGGCTTACCGCAAGGGAGAGAGGTCTACTGACGAAGGATCACGGCCGACCTCCAGGGACTGCGTCCAGCTTGATCGATCGTACGACCTTAAGCTTGTGTGCGTCCAAGTCGTACATCCTGTATCCTTTGGTACCCAAAGAACAAACACTTGAACCCTTCTAATTGAAACCTTGGTACGAGTACATAACCAATTGATCCAAAATCACGCAGGTGATTCATACATGGCTTCAACCGAAATCCCACATCAAAAGGTGTATACTGAGTGTACCCTTCCAGTTGATTGGTTCATCATGTACACTGCCGTAGTAACCCCTTCACACCAGTCCATCGAAACACCTTTGAAGTGCAACATCGACCCTGCGTTCTTCTTCATTATTGTCAGGTTGTCCGTACTGACACACCGTTATGCTGCGGGCTGTACGGTACTGATTTCTGATCGACGATCCCATTGCGCGTGCAAAACTTGTCCATCGCCTTGTTCACAAACACAAACAGTTGTCCGAGCGCAAGCATTTGACGCGGGGATTCCACTGTGTTTCGTACAATGTCTTTGAACTTCTTGAACTTTATCAACAATTTGCTCGTGGTCTTAAGAAAATATGCCACCACATAGCGAGAGTAGTCGTCTACAAAGCTAAAGACATACGTTACGTGACCTTCCGACTTCGTATTCATAGGACCCATCACGTCTGTGTATATGAGCTCCAATACATTTGATGTTTTTTGTCTGGGATTGAGACGAGAACCTTTCACCATTAGTTTGCCTTTCATGCATCCACCGCATAAATTCTTGATCTTCTTTTTCTTGATCATCGGCATTTTCTACGTTCCATGTTGGGATTCCAACTGCACCACTTTACTTTTATGGCCCATTCAGGCATGCCATATCTTCCACGCGTCTTTAACTTGCGTGTACATGACATATGTGCCATGACTTGGTGACATTCGAGCACGTAATTTTTGCCAATATTCTGTTCGGCAGCAACCGCCATTGATTTGTTAGACGGCCTATGAGTCTTGACAATTAACACTCGCCTAACTTGACAACGAATAGCAATCTTCGATCCAAACCTGGAATTTGCAGAGCCTCAGTCACCCGGATCCGTTTTGTAGGCCTCATTGTCCATGAGGTGGATCTTACACTTTCCAGCAACACGAAGTTACTTACCATTTGCAACGGTCACTGTAATGTCGCTTGCATATGTTTCGTCTCCGATGAACTCATCGCGATAAGGCGATACGTTTGCCGTCGTACCACTGTCAACCGACAAACCGGCTGATTGATCACTTACGGCAAATATTGTATCAGTATCACCTTTCCTGATCTGGTTGGGGCAATCTCTGTAAAATGACCGACTTAGTTGCAGATGAATCATCTGCCTTTATAGCATTTATGATTTTAAGGACAATACCCGTATGTGATTAAGCAAATAGATAAAGTGTACCGACACCTAGATATATGAGTATCTGATGTATATGTCAACGATACCTAATTTTTTTATGTAGACAGACGTTCAAGTAGTCGTATGGCTGCTCGTGGACGATAAAAATGATCGATCCTACCTTTCACAGCTATAGAGGAACAGCGATCATCGTTTGTGCAATGGGCACGAGGAAGAGATTTATCATTTAGCGAACATGACTGGTACTTTTCATGTTTGGTGCCATTAAGTGTCTTTCGGTTGACGTTATTGAGTTGCACATTACAAATATGGTACGACGTCGTCACAATTGACGTTTTGGCGTGATGTGGCTGAACCCGGTTTGCGACCTGCTTGTATGAGATTTTTGGAATTAGGCTTGCGCGAATCCTCCTCTCCTTACCACAATTGAGGTCCGGCTTCTGGAATTCGATGCACATCACGCCAGTAACTATATCGGTAGAGAATGACCAGTGATGACAGTTGCTCGTGGATCCGGGCGCTGACATGTGAATAAGTTAGCGCATGAACTGAAAGCTTCGATAGAATTGCTCCAACGTAAACATGTGCATCTCTACATTGTACGCATTTCCAAGCGTCACTTTGAGGCTATCCAAAGCATATTGTTTACATCCGCCAGCACTGCTCTGTCAACTTGCTCTCGACAGATGTCAAAGTACGTCAGCTTGTAAATCAACCCTACATTTCCAGGTTTTCTTCGGCATCAGGTCGCCTACAATTGCGTGTGCATCGTGCGACGTTTTACTTATAGTTATGGACACAGCAACATGAGGACATTGCTGAGCCAATACAAAGCGCAAAACTATACGAAGGGCTTGATTAGAAAACCTACGATCGCCTTCCATGTGGACCGCGCTCTCGCGTATTTGCATTCCCGAAAAGTTTTAGTGATTGATTGCAATCAAGTTAAAGAGTATTACTATTCAAGTAATGGACGCAAAAGTGACAACTTCGATAAATCTCGAGCCAAAGTAGTAGGACCAATAACGATAGATATCGGCACTTTGTTGTGGACGGATTCCGAAGAAATGCTCGTAATCAGTACTATGAGAAGGCAGACACTTTATTGCTTGGTAGTGACTTTTCGGTGCGTGCAATCCCTTACTACCATGCATACAGCTCGAAATAAAGTATGACAGCGATGTACTTACCAAATCCAACAGTAACAGATTAAAGCACGTAAGGTAACAACAAGCTCACATCACTTCAAGTACAAATATCTAGAAGTCGATCGAGGGCAAGTGTTTGCTATAACTTGAGCAAATATCTTCAATTCAGTATTTAGTCTTAGAGTGTTAACCCTTCAATCGTTCTCATTGCTGTTTTTCTCCTAGTTGGATGGATTCTGAACCCTCGGGTGACTTTCTCCAATTTAACGTGACGATGGATGATAAATCTTTTCTTTCATCATCATCAAGTTCCCAATCGCCTCATCTTCCAAAGAGAAAGATGGCTCGTGCTTGTCAGTCATGGCGTCGATCTCCGTCGAAAGTGTCGACCACCTACCAGCCTAAGGACTGGGCACCAAACGATGGTGTACGTTTTGATGGAACTCGGTATCGCTCAACTATACGTGACAGCGTCAATCTTCGCACTGGATTTGACAATTTGTCGAGAGATACCCAAAATTTGATGGTTTCCCGAAATTCGAAGGAGTGGATCCGAGATTTTGAGAACGAGACCAATGAAACTTCCTTGAATACAAGTAAAGAGACAATGTCAATGCCAACATTGCTGCATGGAAAAAATATTCTACAGATTATGTCAGTTGGATCGATTGAACCAATTGCCAGGGATTCAAATTCACTTGATTGGTCGGATAGTCTCGGGGTGGTCGATGAAGCCGAAGACATGTCGTTAATGGACCCACATTTCGATCTCACGTCTGCAAGGATGATGAAATTGTTCTCACTGTTTAACCCTGGAGGTAAAAAATGAATCGTTTATAGCTTCAGATTGAGCTTCTTTCTTACAATGTGTTGTTTTTTAGAAAATGGGATGGTGTCATACGAAGGGTTCCGTTGTGGTTTGGAGGCGATGGGCATTGCCTGTGGTGACGACAAACAATTTCAAGCATTTATCGACCAGGTGGACGATGACAAGAGTGGTGGAGTTACGTATCGGGAGTTTTTGTTTGCTATCCAGGAAATCAAGCTCGCTCAGCTCTTCAATGAAGAGTTTTTGCGAAACATGCCGCCAGAGTACACACACGTGAGACGCGGAAGAGCATGTAACGCACTACTTGGATCGATCGAATACTCACCGGACCGCATTCGCAGCGTGTACCCGATCAAACAAGTTCAGAGATTTATATACTCAACAAAGCCTAGTTGGGCGTCGGTGAGATGGATCAATCTTGAAGGCATTGCTCCTCTTCTAATGCGACGGTTGTCGGTACGCTATCGACTTCATCCACTGGCTGTTGAAGATACGCTTGATGCCGATGTTGAGCGTCCAAAGTACGAGGAGTATGACGAACATTCGTTTTTGATTCTACAAACCATCCACGCGCGTGACTTGTACATGGTGAGGAACTACCAGAGCATGTATCGTGCCTCATTATATGTTCACAACGACGACGTGTCCCTATTTGAGCGCATGACGAAAAAGGAATTGGAAGAACGACTGGAACAGCTTGATGTGGGCTGTGTGATGACGGCGCCCGAGCAGCTCAGTTTGTATATCATGGAAGATGTCTTGATTAGTGTCCAGGAGAGTTCAAATACGCTCTGGGCGATGCTAAAGCATAGACTCGATAGGTCTTACTCAAAGGTGCGCCAGCATAGTACAGCTTTCCTTGTCTATACTATTGTGGACGTTTGCGTGGATGAATTGACGCCCATTACGCACACGTTCGGGTCAAAATTGATCATGCTCGAGCGGCTGCTCCGCATTGACCCACGCTACTTTGATGTTAGTCGTCTGGCTCGTTGTACGAAGCAGATCAAGGGACTTCATGTACTTTGTAAACCGATGAGTGAAGTGATCATACAGCTTATGGAACCCGAGGAGTTTGAGGGCGAAACAATGCGGTATTTCCGTGATGTGATGGATCACATCACTACGATCGAGGAGGACTGCGAGCGGCATTTAGACCGTTGTCGCAGCCTTATTGAAGATTTCCACAATGCACGAGCTGTGCAACAGAACGACGTAAGCTACATCTTAGCATTGGTCGCAGCAATCTTCTTGCCAGCACAATTTCTGACCGGACTCTACGGCATGAATTTTACAAACATGCCAGAGCTTGAATACCACAATGGCTACTACATCTGGTGGGCAGTCGTACTCTTTATTGCCCTTGCAACGATGATAGTTTTCAAATTTTACAAGAAATGGTTGTAAAGTGGCGAACAGTGTTGATGGTTGGCGCACGCAAAATATTCGAAACCGATTAATACTTAGAGGAATCATAGTAGCTATACTAAAACAGCAACTTCTTGAGTGAGTAAGTGCTCGTTTTCGTACTAATGGTCCTGGAAACTGGGACTAGATCATTATATTTACTGAAGCATGCTACCATGTCGTCAATCGTCAGTAGCAGCAGCTCGACAAAAGCCGTAGCATTGTTAAACATGGCTACCGCTGCTTGTAGAAAAGTCTTCTATTACTGTTTGAGGCCGATCACATCGCAGGTGTTTGTCGTACATGTTCAATCAATCGTCAGTGGATCCTTCCTACTGCTCGATGTAGCCAATTTGACGTATAGTGTCAATGCCTTTCAGGCTGAAGACTAATCAAATTTCCATTCATGTCGACGATTGTGTGTCATAGTCTACGATGTTGTTGATACTGGAGATGAGACGGAATCGATCGGTTCAAGTGCGATGAGCCTGCGTCACCCAAGGGTCCGTATCAGGCCATTGGTCACACCATTATAGATTGAATTCGAGTGGCTATGATGAGCTTAAGTCAATAATTTCGAATATCAGTTTAGTGACTGAGTTTTAAACTCCCACTGGTGTAAGGTAGAGAGACTGTTGCATTGCGGAGACTGTACTGCGTGACTATTTTTTGATTCTTGACAAAAGAAGCAGCCCAAGTTGTTATGAATCCTTTATCCTTAATACACCTAAAGTATATGGACATTACTATGGCTAACAGAACTGGAAAAATCAACATTCCGTTTCGTGTGTTTCAATAAAGAAGAAGCAATCAAGTTTACTCACATCTCGGCTCGGACTCTTAGGTAAGATTCTCGGCATTTAGAGACTGAAAAGTTCCCGACGATGAGCTCGTTTTTTTTCAAGTTGATTGCAAAGACAAGGACTACTGCTTCTTTAAAACAGCAAAGAAAATCGAATCAGCTTTGCATTTTTAGCCGGGAAGGCATTTCCCAGATTACCAATACAAAACCACTGCAAGCACGGTACTAAAGGCACCGATCAGCTTTTCGCTCTTGTGCTGACAAGCTTACTTTGTATGATTATGAACGAAACTGAACCTACAGGAGCTTATATTACCCTCACAATAAAGATCGAGCGCCACGGTTTTGTACACTTGAACTTTTGCTAAACTTCAACTTATATATATTCGCTCATTTTGCAGCAACACTTCCGCGCCCGACTGGACTTTCTTCATATCACAAGCAAGCGAACCAATCGGTTGCAGCATCGTCAACGCCTTTTTGTCAGAATTAGGAGGTGCTTTATGTACAGCACTGATGGCGCCCTCCGTACACATGATTGCTGTCGGTAACAGTGTATTTGGTTTTCGACATCACTGGCTGGGAATGACAAGGCCAAAAAAATCGATGGAATAAGTTGTCCCACTTCGGACGTACCAGAGGGATTTACATGCCAGTGCTGACTGAATCTGGGAAGGGGCGGCAAACTGAAGCTGAGCGAGTAGATCTGGCGCTAATGACAGTGTCAAGGTAAGACTAACGTAGGAAGGGGATGATTGAATTGTGCCCGCTGTTCAGGACGCGAAAATATGTTTTTCTCGGCTGTTGACGACAACCTGCGGAGAATCGTGGCAGTTTTGATGCATAAAACGGAATACACGCAACCAATAACAGCTGACTACGCTGATGACGCATTGCTATCATGTGGTCCACATATCAAATCTTTGAAAGAAACGCTGCCCATCACATTTCAGCAGCCAGGAGAGACATAAAATTAGAGTCACTTGCCAACGTACTCAACAAGTAACACTTGACAATCATTCTTGGTCAGAACTTCATTCATTTACCATGCAAAGTCTAAAACGTACATTTTCAAAGTGTTCGATGGATAATGGGGATAAAACCCTTCTAGCTACGAAAAAAAAGGTGTTTTCTTCTCTTGACAATAAACCCGTTCTGTTAACAAGAGCTCCTGTTCCACTATCAGAAGAATTTGAGCCAGAGGATTCGCCTTGTTCTCCTACATTTGTATTTCCAAGAACCATAAGTAACTTCAATCAAAAAACGACCGTTGTTATCTCTGCTCAAGTCCCTGAAGTACAAGACGATGTTTCCGCTGCTCGGATGGTTGCAGTAGTACTCGACTACCTTCGTGACGTGGCGCATTATTGTAACTGTGCAGTAAGCTGGAGCTTTGCGCAACTACGACAAACGTTGCAGTCGATTCCCTTTGCTGTGGGTCAAATGCAAACTATAGTAAAGATCAGACTGGGTCTATCGTGGCCACTTGTGACCGCCTTTGTTCAGAACGTGACGGACTTTATCAGCGATGAAGACATTCGTGACGCGTCTGTTGGTGAGCTCGTAGTTTTTCTCCAGACGTGGCAGGTTGCTGCCTGTGAACAAGCTGTTGTGGCTGGATCGAGTAATATTTGCGCCAACTTGGTGCAGTTTTTCCGCGACGTGTTGGAGCAGTTTAAGCAGTTTTTGACCAAGAGATGGCTGCAGAGTGGACGTATTAGCTTTCCTTGTGAGTTTGGGAAGAAATCTGACTCGCTATTTCTCTGCATGGAGTGTCATCGCGAGCACATGTAACGAGAGGTGAGTGGTTGGACCGAACGTCTTTTTACCTATTGTGGCACAAAGAGAGAGAGAGGTCAAGCAGTGCACTGCCTTGCTCTTTATCAGATTCTACGCACTCACTGATGTGAAGGTCAACACAATCGTGTACACAACAGAAAAGAGAGAAACAGATGCACTTGGAGCCTTGGAACGCCCCTGGAGATGCAGCAGGGAGATATAGCTAGGTCAAGCTGATTTAGGTAGGTAGTGTGGCGATGACCTCTTTTACTAATATAATAACGTAATTTATTGACGACATTTGCTGAGTAGCTGCTCCCTTCTGACGGGAACATTTCTGATCGTTGCAGTGCAGTGCACATGGCAGTAAAAGATGCCGCAATTGCAGTCGGGCATAAGTCTTGGTTTCAAGGCTTCTTCTTGGTCAGTTTTGATAACATAAAAACAAAAAGAGCGAAAACCTGCTCTGCGACGCACGTCATGAGGTGCGCACTTTACCTTGTCTTTCAATCTATGGTCGTGCCGTAGACTGTATGCTGCATGTTATAAGTCAATAACGGTTGAGAACGTCATCTTACATGTTAAAATGACATGTAAGATACAAATACCGTTGGCGACGGTCATTTGGGGGTTTAATGTTCTCGTCTGTGTTGTTGACCACCACTTGATTAAAAGCTGTCAGTTCCTGACAAAAGAGCTACTATTGGCATTCTCGCTACACATTGCTTGTTACAAGGACCTTGCATCTGCTGGCACCAATTCATACAAGCAAAACCTGTGCCGTAACAGTTACTGACGTCCTTTTTGTCACCCTCATGTTGAAAGAGTCAGCTTCCCTTATGTGTAGCCAACAGTCCAGTATCCGTACCAGACCTGTCCTGACACAAAGCTATAAGCTACCGCAAATTTTTCACGTTCTGATCTAATTGATAAACTTTGCATCTTCCGCCTCGCCTTGACACCTTGGTTGACAGGTCTTTATCCTCGATTTATCTTCAGCTTATGTAGTTGTCCATCGACCACCTTTTAAAACTGCTGATTCAGCTGCTAACCTTATTGCTACTACGTACGTTGGTCACCATCTTCAGATCAAGCTCCATGCCATCTGCAACATTATCTTTCCCACTTGAACAAAAACCATTCAGCTAGAAGCATGCCAGCAGTTTGCGGAACCATCACCAGAAAGCGCCATACTTTTGCAATAATTTGCTTCAAGCATCTAGCTCGTGTGTATTCATTCATAGTGCTGCATCAGTCGCAGGTATTGGCTCCATCGTACCGCAGTATCTCTGCAGTAACTGCCTCATCAAAAGATACGCACAGGTACACTTGAAGTTGAAGCAGATAAGTGATACATCGTACCATATCCAGTTCATGTATCTCTCACGTGCTTCAATATGGCTCATCTTTATGTCAGTGGTCCATTTATTTAATCGGGGATCTCATGGGTTTCGCAAACTACGATAGACGATTCTATGTAACGATCGAGCTTGCCATTTTGAGCAGTTTATGCTTTGGACTAATTTATATTCGACATTTTTGACAAAATAGTATCAGTCCAAATAATTGTCCATCAACATGAAATTGTTGTGGACGTTGAAAAACTTGTAATTGGAGGAATTATTGCGTTAGATATGCAAACATTCACGTCATGCCAGTCTCTTTTGCTTCAAAAAAGTTTATTGTTTTCATATTGGCTACATTTTATTTCATCCAATCCTATGTCTTTATTTTAAAATTGCTCCAAACAAGTAGGACGACGGATCTTGCCATGGAAGCTACTGCCGATGGATCTTTTGACACCAACAATGTTGCAACAGCTCAAGCGGAAACATTGCGGCAAAAAGGCAATGAAGCGTTCAATCGTCGGCATTTTCTTGAAGCAAAAAACCTTTATTCTCAAGCTATTGCATGCCACAACACAAATCATTTACTATATGGGAATCGATCCGCCGCTCTGTATCAACTCAAGGATTTCCATGCAGCTCTTCAAGATGCCGAGAAGGCAATTGAAATATCACCTGATTGGTCAAAAGGATATTTACGAAAGGGTGTTGCATGCGAATCGTTGCAACTTTGGGATGAAGCGATTGATGCTTTTGAAACAATTTTGCGGCTGAATAATGAGGAAATCGTAGTTTCGAAAGCAAAAATTGCGATAACAAGAGTAAATTTTCGTAGAAAAAAGAGTGTTGTAACAAAAGGGTTTTTATCCGGCAAAAATGCGTCGGACATTTATACGGAAAAAGAAAATGTGAGTCAATATACAACGCAGCAATCGTGGCAATTGATGCTGAAGAAGTTGCTTGATGGGTGCAATAAACGAGGAATGAATAGTCAAGGAGAAAGTGTTGTGTTAGATGATGGCATATTTGCCAAGTTGTTGCAAGAAAATGAGTTCCAGCAGTTAATTTATCCAGGAATTCCAACGGAACAATTGATTCATGCACCAAAAAAATTTGCAGACTTTATTAGAAGATCCATGGTATGAACACGAGTTGCTAGCAATTATGCCCAAAGTAAAAGCAAAAGCAGCAAGTGTTTTAAATAATGTAAAAAAACGAGGTGCAGAGCAAGGGGATTTTATGGATACGATTACGGAACGTGTGCTTATACCACAAGTAATGCAAGAAGCATTTGGCAGAGAAATGTTGGCGATGGTGCATCGAGTTAATTATCAAAAACATGTCAAATTAGCAAACGACGTGAGATTTTTAGCTGATCCGAATTCGGACTTTGCTACATGGGATCAGCTCGACGATGAATTTCTCAATGAACTATTAGCTAATAACAATAGTAGCGTGCGTGGCACGGCAATTCTGGACGGGTTCATGGGTGACGAATGGACGCAGTTGCTACTGAACGACGTGTCAAGAATGGCCACAAATGGGTTGCTTAGGACTACAACAACGAGTGAGCATATAATGAGTCAGCAGAAAGATAAGGCAAGTTTGCTGGGAGCGAAGCTTCGTTTTGTTGAGTATCAAGACTGTACGGCAGAATATCCGGCGCTAGCCGAATTGATTGAGAAGGTGCACGCACTGCCGTTCGAGATCAACAAGAAGCGGCCGGATAAGGCCAAGTTGTGTGCGCAATTTTCGCGCTGTACTGCCATCCAACAGTTACCAGCCGGACACCATCAGCCCCTTCGCTTGGATTGCGGAGCCGGTGACAAGAACAACGGTTTTAAGTTGACATGCATCTACTTTTTTAATGCAGTTGATACGAAGAACAAGCGAACAAGTCTTAGCCTTCGAACAGCGCTACGTGAGAACTCCACGCGGCAGGTTTACCCAGAGCCGGACCGCCTGGTTGTTTTTCGAAGTCAGTCCGTGTTTAACGAGATCACAACTGTTCCTGACGGTGAGGACCTGTATTACCTCACATTCTGGATCCATGGACAAAGTCTGCAGTAAGTGTGATCCGTGCTAATTCGCCTGTTTGATGGTCGGACCTACATCTCAACTCTTTTGAATATCATTGATTATCGTTCCATGTTCTCTACGAGCGCCACTGTCACCGTTTCTACCAAATTGTGGCTACATGTCGTTGCGACGCTTTTGCTTTATCTCGTGTCAAGTCCAGAATTAAATCTTCCTACGCCGCTGCAATCAAAGAAAACGCATTTCAAATTCTAATACCATCATTTGCTTTATTAATGTGGAAGGTTAATGCTGTTGCGCGAGATTTGGCAATGTTGCTGCTTGGACCAAACAAAAACTCGGGCTGTAGGCGACGAGAACACTCAGGAGCAACAACTTCGGAACAATAGACTCACTGTGTCGGAGACATAACGAATTGCCACGACTAAGCACAAATTCAGCACCTTGAACACGATTCAATCGACTCAGTCCGAAGAAATGCACCTATTCAATTTGGAAGAGATACGTCTACCTGTCAGTCAAGGGTTGCGATCTACGCAATCGTGATAGTAGCGCTGCTGAGCTTATTGTACATGTTCAGTAAGCTACACCATATTTTGCAACAAGCCGAGAATTCATCTTAGCGTTTCAAATAGCTGCCAAGTCACCATCAGGTTGCTCACATCGTCTGAGCAATCCATTATGATGGTGTAGATACTCGTGACGGCTGCAATGATTGTTATAAGGGGATACACGAATGCCAGACCTACTTGACCCTTTCTACCTTCGCTTCCATCACCAGACCATCGGCATGTTGTTCCATGCCGATGGTCTGGTGATGGAAGCAAAGGCCGAACACGACTACGACTTTGACCTTGACGTATTGGTCTCGTAGATCTTGCATCTTCCACAATTGTGGCTCAAGGACGTACAGTGCAAAGTACTGGTCGTACAGAAACCACTGCTGCAGAAAGGTATCGACTCCACCGACGACGCCAGAAATCGTAATGAAGCGCATTTGATGCAGACCACGTATAGGCAACAAGCCGCCATTCTAATATGCACGGAAGAATACATAGATAGAGACGTTGGCAGCTGATGTAAAATTGGTCCTACAACCGCTTCCTCAGCATCACCAACGATCTGTTCCTTACATACTACGTGTGATATAATGATTCTACTGCACTGAAATGATTGCATCGTTTGATTGTCGTTGGGTTCAGAAAAGTATTGTTGACTTAATGTCCACACGATGCCGTATTTTATTCACTATGGCGGGTTTAAGTTGTATATTTTCCCCCCTTTTTTCTGTGCATTCAACACTCAAATATTGCAATCAGAACGACCAGCAACATTGTGATAAATATTTTACGGTAAGCTAACACATGTGTCCTTATTTTGCGTAAATTTTAATCCAGCTTCAATAAATTACGTCGTCACGTTCTAAATTTTATATACCTTCTTTCAATGATAAGCCATCATATTATACAGTATTAGTTTCGACAATGACGACGTCAGCTCCTGGTGCACTGCACGCTCGCGTGCACAAGCTTCTGGGATCCCAAGCAGAGCTTGAAGCAACTAAGACTATTCTACAAACGTTAGTAAAGGATGTTTCGAACTCTAGTACTTCACTCGTGCAGTTAGAAACGTCCGCAAGCTCGGGAATGCCCACGTTAGCAACTTTGCGGCGTAATTTACGCTCTAATTTAGAAACGCAACAATTGGCGTTGGCTCAAAAGGCTTTGGTCAATTTAGAACACATTTTAGAACAAGTTTTAAATTTGACTACTCAAGTAGACGTGTTGGACTATAAATGTGAACAGGTGTACAAATTTTTAGAAACTACTAAAACCGAGACACAGCAAGCACAGACCGAGGCAGCGGCTTTAGCGACGACAAGGTTTGATTTGAGGTTTTTTATTATCGCGATTTATTTCAAATGTAGCGGGCTATTTTTGACTTGACAAAGTTACCTATTCTAGAAATTTGAAAACTAACAGATGTTGGATGTAGGGACACGATGCAAGAGCAGTGGAAGGAGACCAAGGCATTTCTAGATCGGTATCAATTAACAGAGGAGGAAGTGCACATGTTGTATGCCGAGCATTTAGTAGACGAAGAGATGGAGACTTTTTTTAGTACTCTGGAGCGAGTTCAGCAGATTAAAGAGGACTGCAAAGAGCTAGCAGCGATAAAAGACGTTACTTGCGGGTCGGGAGCTTGGATTATCACGTGATTGAGAAGGTTTTCTAAATTGCACCAACTAATTTTGTGGCCAGTTTTTTTTAAATTTGAAATAACAGATTTGAGCTGCTAAAAACAGCTGAAAAGCACCTGGAAGCTGGGTTTGAAAGGCTGTACAGGTGGACGAATAAGAAATGCGCAGAAGTAGATGAAGATCCAAGCAGTATGTTGCATCGAGCTATTACCTTGCTTAATGATCGTGAAGAGTTTTATAAGTGAGCTCCGTTTTTTTATTAGTAGGTCATGCTGGTCTAGCAGTTGACTGACAGTGTCATTGTTGTGATTAGTAACTGCAAAGAAAGTTTGACATCGTCGCGGCGGTTGTTGATAGTACGTCGCTTTATCATGGCGTTAACGGTAGGCGGGCCAAATGGAATACCACGGCCTATCGAGTTGCACGCACACGACCCAGTGCGGTACTGCGGTGATATGCTGGCGTGGATCCACCAGGCCATTGCGACAGAGAACGAATTCTTTCGCGTGCTCTTTAATGACGATGTGGACTTCAGTCCTTCTGCTGCTACTGATCTCTTGCAAACAAGCGAGGCAAGTAGGAGAAACATGCTTGACGGTTGTTTGCTACAGATAGACAAACCGCAGGGACATATCGATGGCGTGATCGAAGAGATTTGCACGTCTATGGTTGGACATGCGATTGATGGTGTATCACGGCCACTACAAGTGAGGGTGGAGCAAACGCTTAGCTCTCCCCACGGCATCGTGACCGCCTACAAGTTGGTACATTTGCTGGCTTTTTACCATCACAAGTTTGATCAGCTTGTAGCACGCGCTGATATTGTGCGTACTCTCCAGTGTTGTCGTGAGGCCGCAAATGAAGCGTTTTGTCACCAGTTACAGCAACTTGTGGATGCTGTTGCAGCTTCGTCTCAGGACTATACCGTGAGCCTTGCAGCCACACACGTTACACTGGATGTTTCACACCGTTTAGTAGCACTGCTCGAAGTGTTTCAAACGTCGCTGCTAGCCGAGCGAGAAAAGGAAGCTGACTTAGCACCTGTGTTCGATGGAGTTTTGTCAGCAGTGGAGCTCATGTGTCAGCGCAGCGTGGCAGGTTTGGATCCTGCAGAAGCACTCATTTTTCGCATCAATAACTTTAGCTGTCTGCATACACCTCTGACACGATTTCCTGAAGCGACGAAGTGGTGTACTAAGATGGGCCACGATTTGGGGCGTTGGCTACAAGATTTGAGCGAATTGCAAGCCTCGTGCGTGATGGATCAATGCCACGTGGCCGCGCTTCTACAATGCATTCAAGATTTTCAGCAACGCCATGCATCCATAGCGATGGACTCTGGCACGTCGCCAGCAAATGCACCTGGTCTTGATGGGGAGACAATTACACGAGCAATGGCAGATTTCTGCGCATCCCTCACGACATTGATATTCCCTCAGCTTGATAGCTTAGCACAACCTGCGCTTTCAGACAAGGCCCGCGCACTATCGTCTGCGACGCTTGCCGGCACGTATGCGTTCATCTACGAGTTCGTGTACGACGTGAGGAAACGGATATATCCCAAGTCATGAGCCGATCTCTTTATCTGCTTCGGGTGAACGGAACCGTCGTGTTGTGCTGGAACACACGCCTGAAGAAATCCGTACTGTGCTCGAAATCGATGGAGAATTGGGCGAAAAGGTGCTAAATTGCTCAAATTGCAACTAATGATTTGATCTTGTCAAAAAGGTGAATTTTACGTTGCAGGTAAGAAGATCCTTCCTCGTCGTCTCCTTCGCTATCATCTGAGATACCGCCAGGATAGAAGGCCAACACGCTATTATTCCTAATGAGTTGACGATGTACGTCGGATGCTGGATGGCTCGCCCGTCGAGCCAGCGATTGCCATTGAAGTAAGGATGCGCGCGACAGAATGTTGTAGCTGCAGACACGGCCCGAATTTTTGCCCGCAGTCAGGTTATTCGAATCAGTTTGGCCCGTTCAAAGAACCTGGCTGTGGCCAGCAATCTTCGAATCAGTCTGGCCCGTTTAAAGAACTTGGCTGTGGTCAGCAACGAGGTTTCTCTCGGCAGCTACAGCTGTACATTCTTTTCGTGCACATCCTTGGCTCGTCATCGGGGACGTCCAAGAAATTAGAGAGGATAGAATAATGGATCTTCTTTTACAACTGAACGCCCATCAATTAAGAGGCAAAAAAAAATATTTATAAAAAAAAAAAAACTGGGAGTCACGCGCTATGATGTGAAGCATAAAGATGTCTATCCTTCACTAATGGTAGGGTTATCAATGGTAACATAAAAAAATGGGTTGCTATGACTTTATTTTGTAACATTTGCCATTGATGATTAGCGGTGTTTAATAATGACTACTATATCGCCATATCCATTCAAACCCAATTACGTACAAGACTCGGAAACAAAACTATTGCTTTAATTAGTTGAGTTTAATCCAAACTGATCAATCGTAGCTGCTGAGCACCGCAGCGGAATAATAGACTAAACTACTCGAATTTGTCCAACCTTTAAAAACAATAGGCTCGTTTATTGAGCAATGCGTTGCAGTAAGACGCATATTATGTACGTATGCGATATGATAATGCATACGACCGTACCTCTTAAGCGGAAATGAGCTATGAGTAGGAGGTGCACGAATGTATTTCGAGTTTATACGGCTAACCTGCAATTGATATATGTTATCGGCAACCACCGTGGTGTAGGTAGGCGATATGTATCATCATATGGAATACGTACATAATACAAGTCATTCCAACTCCATTGCTCAATAAACGAGCCCACGATTGTTGAAGGTTGGACATAGGTATTCTATCTAATATAGCTTACATAAGATAAGTCATTGCAACCAATTTGCTACTTCCATATCACATCGGCTCAATACAATGGTTGCTTCAAAGCTCGCTTTGTCTGTATTGGCACTTCTTACGTCGCCGTCAGTCGGCGATTTACCAGCGTGTAGCGGACCAGCTAACGATGTTTTATACAATAAATTCCTTAGCTTGAATTACCTCTCGGGACTCGTCAACCCACCAGGAACATTTTTCGCACTGACGCGTTATTATGAACCTTTCCAAACAAAGCACAAGAGTGACATTGAACTCCTCTGTCGAGAATCAACAATTCCGCTTGGATTTATCAAGGTATCCTGCGCATGACTGCACTGTGGCTGGATCATTTCTAGGATATTATCATGATATTACTCCCTATAACGTGAAACCATATATTGATATATTTTTAATAACCTGTGGTTATAAACCGTGAACGGAGAGTTAGGCGTTGCGGGGTGGAGTAAGCAGAACAAAGAGGTCATGGACCATTCCAATACATCTGGCAAGTCGTGGGAAACCAGTAAAGATAGGCAATATTTGCTTCCATTATTGTAGTTTTTTCTCCTGCTCTAACTAATCAAAACAGCTTTGCAGTTTTTCTCTTATCTTCTATATCCTTTTGGTGCTGTTGATGGGTCATTTTCTGTTGCTGCTATAGTTTTGTAAGTGTCGTGGACGTTATACGTCAATCGACCATAATGAAAGGGAGTTGGATAATAAGATGACGATTAGATTTCGAGATC